AGAACAGCAATGACAATGGGGATAAAGAGAAACGGACGCCTAAGGCAAATAAATTCTACAAGAATACAGACTTTTTGCTTGCAAAGGATAAGTTTCCTTCTGCAGAAGGCAACAAGAAGTCTAAATCTGGTGCTGGGAAGAAAGCTGGAGGGGGTGAATCAGGACATGGGTTTGTTTCAGGGAAGTTTTCTAATCAAATGTTGAAGAATTGTAGCTCTTTGCTTGATCGATTGATGAAGCATAAGCATGGATGGGTGTTCAACAAACCTGTTGATACTGTGCATCTTGGTTTGCACGATTACTTTGACATTATTAAGAATCCAATGGATTTGGGTACTGTAAAAGCTAGGCTTAGCAATAACGGGTATAAATCTCCTAAGGAGTTTGCAGAGGATGTGAGACTTACATTTCAAAATGCTATGACATATAACCCTAAGGGGCAAGATGTTCACGTGATGGCTGAGGAGCTATTAAAGAATTTTCAGGACAAATGGGCTGCTATTGAGGCGGAATATATGCATGAGATGATGCATGGCCCGGATTCTGAAGTGGGTTTACCGACTCCTAAATCTAAGAAAGCTCCTCCAGCAGTAATGGAACCTCCTGAAATGAGGACTTTAAGCAGGTCAAAGTTTATTAGCAATCCTGTTGATCCCAAAACCAAAACCATGATTTCTGCTGGTTCAGGGAGAACTGCAGCCCCAAAAAAGCCAAAGGCAAAAGAGCCCAATAAAAGGGAAATGACATACGACGAAAAACAAAAACTTAGCACAAATTTGCAGAGTTTGCCTTCTGAAAAGCTTGAAAATGTTGTGCAGATTATAAAGAAGAGGAACCCTTCTCTGTGCCAAAATGAGGATGAGATTGAAGTTGACATTGACAGTGTTGATACTGAAACTCTTTGGGAGCTGGATAGATTTGTAACAAACTTCAAGAAGAGTCTGAGCAAGAACAAACGAAAAGCTGAGCTTGCCAATCAAGGAAAGGGAGAAGCAGCCCGGAGTGTTCCAGAAAAGGTAAGCTATTGAAATTTCTATTTGATGCCTTTCTGTTGTTAATTTCGGTGGTTATAGGCACTTAGCTTCCGTTTTCTGCAGGACCTTGCCCCAGCTGCAGCAGAAACTCTGAAAGAAAGGAAGATGGGTAAGCTATCTGAGCTCAAGTCTCCTTTGCTCTTGAAATAACGGCAAACTTGGTTTTCAAACATAGTGAAGTTAAATGTGTTTTCTGAACAGAAGCTAAGAAAAATTATTCATCTCAAACTGAAGTGGAAAAGAAGAGAGATAATGCAAGTCGATCAACTAACTCAAGCGGCTCGAACGCGGACTCGGGATCTTCCTCAGGGGGTATTGCTAATTCTTACTTTGTATTTTCTGTCTGGAGATTCATGATTACAAACTTATCTCCAAAGTGAGAGAATGTTACTGAATTGTCTTCTCACTTTACATTTTTTGGCAGACTCTGATAGTGGAAGTGCTTCAGATGGATCCGATGCATGACATTGAACTAGGAATTAGAGTTACTTGTCAATGTAAGATAAGTTTCTTTGTGGATTTATTTATTTGTCATTTCATGGATCGTGGAATTGAATCTGCTTTTATTGATTTCTCTTGTTTCCTTGCTCATATTTAATTAATTTTCTGTTATTTATCGAAGCACGAACCTGTTGTTGTTTATGTTAGCCTTTTCTTTAATGTTTCTAATTCTCTTTGTGAATTTTGCGTGTTGTTCACTTTTATGGTTGCTGGCTTTACTTGAGTTTAACTTAAAACTTAAGAATGCTCATTAAGATCTAGATATGATAGTTAAGCATGTAAAAAGTGCACTTGTAAACAATAAATGTCTTAATTGCTTTATAATTTCCAAATTACTGGGAAGTTTGTAGATCATGAGAAAAGATGATTGTGCTCTTTTGCTCTATTCAGCAATGCATGGTAGTTAAACTTTTTTTTTTTTCGGAGCATATATTGAGCGCATCGAATTTGTCTATCTACAATTTGAAAGTGGCATTTTCCTAGACAATAATACTGCAGTATCTTGTTTATGCTTTAGAAGCTGCTGTTGACACTCCCCAAATGTTGATAATTCTGGAGTGCCTGTAAAGCTGTCAAAGATTGAGGGAAGAGGATAGAGATTTCATTAAATTCTTTGTGAGTGGATATTAACACAAGTGTGAGATATGACTTATCAAACAAATTATTGTGACTTGTACAGTTTTTGCTTTAAGAGGAAGTGCTGGTCATTGTTAAACAGTCTGCATGACTTTACGTGTGAAATGACTTTCCTTAACTAGTTAAATGAAAAGAGGGAAAGGTAGGAATATGCAAAACTTAAGCATGAATGCAAGTGTAACAAACTAGAGTTCAGCTAAATATAGATATGTAGGTTTGTGGTATAATGATGGAAGCTTTATTAAATTTACTTCCTTTGTTGGCTCCAACACTGTGGCACTTCTTTTACATTTTTTAAACTGGGAAGTTAGTTATGGAGGCTGTAGAGATCAACATAAGTCCGTTGTTCCTTGAGCTTTATAATGGTCGATCAGCATTTTCGGTATATATCATCTTTCTATCTTAGTATCTTCCATAAGCGCTCAAAGAATCCCAAATGTTTAATCAACATATACACCATGTGGCTGCAAGCGCTTATTTGAGTGCTCTCCTTTAGCTTTAAGATAGCACGAGCTTGTGAACTAAACCAGTGATCAAGGTGCAGTGATATTTATGAGCATCAGATCTAACAGGTGTAGGAAACACTCTATTATCAAGCTATCAAGCATTCAGCTTTTTCTTATTCTTTCTGTACTAGAGTGTTGGTAAGAACTTGTACCTACTGTTAGGAATTATCTATACTACATTAGTTTCCATGTTTGTAATGCCTACTTTCGCAAAAGTCATCTTAGGTGAAAGTAGTGCAGTTAGAACGTAATACCTGTAGGTCGAGTAATTTGGTCCTCTCTGTCTCTCTCTCACACACACAAAGCACACACTTTTCTTTTTTATTGTTTCTCTTTCTGTTTTGATTGTCATGGTTATGGCGAATGCCTGAATGTTAATTTGAAGTTTGGCTCGTTTTTGTCTTCAATAATTCCAACAGGATTGTGGCCTGATTGATGCTGCTATTCCTTTTCAGGTCTCATTTTGTTTTAACGAAGAATCGTGCTTAAGTCTAATATTCATGTTTCTACCATCTTGCCTAGATTTATTGTTACAAACCTGTGGCCGAGCTTGACTGCATATCGATCTCCTCTTGAAACAATGGTCTCCATCGACAGTAAGGTGTTTTAGGTGACGGTTTTAGCAACAGATGTTTCTGGACAACCTGGAGAATGATGCAGATGCTTCTTTATTGTACATTGTTGTAGCTTTTGTACATAGCTAACTACTGCTGGCCAGTTTTCTGTGTATTTGTCTGGTGGTTTACAGCAGCGTTGGATAAAACATTTCGCAGTTAATTGCAATTGCATGTATGTATTAGTAATAGCGGTATGCTGTCGATGACCTAAGAGGCATTCTTTGTGTAAAGTCTTGTTCTTGGTCGTGGATCTTTCTCGATAGTTAATTACATATTGCCCTTAGCTTACTGCTTTTGCTATGAACACTCCTATAATTGCTCGTTTCTTGCTAACTCAAATCTAAATTTTGGCGTTCCCTAGATTGAGTGGTACCAAAACTAAGGGTAATCATTAAGTTTTGTTCATGATATTCCGGGTTTGCTTCCTTAAACCCCATCTGTCAGTCCCTCATCCCCTCCATTGTGCGGGAAAATAATGGAAAGCCCCCAAATCCAGAATGGTGGACATTGCAACAAGCTATCCTGCGTTTCCACCTTGAATTCTCCAGCTGTTTGTGTCCCTAGAGCTTAGTTTATCGCTGCTCATTATGTGGTATTTGCAATATTATTTACACTTACCATAACCCTTAAAACTTCTTTAATTGAAATAAAACTTAGTACCATACCAATTTGTCAAGTAATAATCACGAGTATTGCTAGAAAAAGCGACAAAAATATATACTCCTTTCGTCCTACTTTGATAGTCCTTTTTTTTTTTTTTTTTTTTTTACACAATTTAAGAAAAAGTAGTTAACTTTGTTGGAAAAGTAAATTTGGATTGCTATTTTTCTAAAATACTCTCACATTAAATATGGTATAACTTCAACTTTCATTAAATGGGGTAGGTTTATAGTAACAACTACTTACATTGAATAAGGATATTTTAGAAAAATTAAAATACAACTATATTCTTCAATTGGAAAGTGGGTTATAATTTGGGACAGATGAAAAAGAGATACAGAACTATCAAAGTGGAACGGAGGGAGTATAAAGTTATACTAATACATTTCTCTTGGTACATAGTACTCCCTCCGTCCCATTGTTGTTGTCATAGTTCACCTTTTTTCATGTCCCAAAATTTGAGTCACACTATAATTTTTTTCTCTAACATTCCATTTGTAGCCTCAAAAGAGACATTGATAAAATAAAAAACAAGTATAATGGAACTCACAAAAGCAATAAATAGACATCAAAAAAAAAGGTGCGTGGACAGCACCAAAAATTTTGATGGCCATAAATAGGCGCGTGCTTGGCAACCGTATGAAAAAGAGCTTACATTTTACATGGACCCACAGATTCTTTTCACATCACCATAGACAGCAATTAAGATTTGATATCGGTCAAAGGGGTACGATTGGAAAAAAATGTCTCACATTCAAATTGATTGAACTGTGCATAATAAGTTAGAATCTCCAAAAACGTCCCTTATTTTGGGACAGAGGGAGTATTTCGTATTATAATTCATTACTCAATATTGTCTATTAAACTTAGTACATCATGTTTCATAATCTAAATCATTATTCAACATTCACAACTATTGTATACATCCTATTGTATTATCAATCATCATGCAATATTTACAATGCATAAACTATGTCATGGGGTTTAATTACGAGAATTAGCTTAGACATGATTATGCCACCAAGATCGATCTCTGAGTTGCGGCGAGGTGACTTGAATTTCCCCATTTCTTGATTACAGCAACCCATGGCTCGCAATTCTTTGAATTGCTGTTCCTCTTATTCTACGCGCGCACCTTGCCCGGTCGATCTTCGTCATGGCCCGCAAATTGCATCCTGTAACAGCGCTTGCCTACTATTCCCTCCCAGTACCCTCCTCAGTCCTCACTGCCTTATTTGAAGGAAATGCATCCGCTAAAACATAGAACCATGCTCGCCACTACATTAAAATGCACATTTTGGTCAAACACTTTCCCAACACACAACCCTTTTAATCCAAGAAAGCCTTTTTCTGCTTCTGCTGTAAAGTATCCCAACCAAGAAGAAACGCCTGCACAAAAGCCAGCACAAATAGTACACTGGTCCGGTCTTGACAACTGGAGAAGTAGCCCTCTTAATCACAACCGTTTCTGGGGAGCCAATGGCCCACAAACACCCCCGATACAACCATCATTCTCGAATTCTGGAGAAACCGGCGACAGTGGTTCAATTTCATGTTCTATTGACTGGGGCTGTTGCTCTTCTTTAGCAGAGATGGGGGCTGTGGTGCTATCTACAGCTGACCCTCTTCAAAAATCAAAGCTTTCCCACTTGGCTTACTCCAGATGGTGCCAGGAGAGCCTTCCTGTTGGAGTCTGTGAGGCACCCTCTAAGCCTGCTCGTCCCCAGAATCCGCAACTGGTTTGTTTTCTGAGAGTCCTTTTGGCCATTTTGGTTACGGAGACATTAAAAATTTGATCTTTTTGTTGGAGTTTAAGAGTTAATGTGAGGAATAGCAGATATGTTTGTGTATGATAGTCATGTTCTTGATTGAATTGGTGGGATTGGAGTTGGAGTTTGTGCTTCTGCTTAGATGGTAATCCATGTGTTTGATGAATTTGGTATGCTGGAGAGTTTAGGAATTGTCTTTATTGAAGCTTAGTTTCCTCTTAGAGAATTGGCAATGTAAAAACAAAACAATATTATTATGGCAGCTGCATGAAATGCTCTCGCTGTTAATAATTGACACCACTCTCTTTGGGTTTGTTTTAATTTAGTAACTCTACTGTTTATTAGTGTGACAAGCTGAGTACACTGTCTGCTCTTAGGACTGGTTTACTGTATGAGAATGCAGGTATCTCCAAAGGAGATTCCATCCCCAAAACACTCTGGTTTGCCTCTTAATGCATATATGCTGCATAATCTAGCTCACGTGGAACTAAATGCGATTGATTTGGCTTGGGACACCGTTGTTCGCTTTTCTCCTCATTGTGAGCATCTTGGAGAGGGATTTTTTGCTGACTTTGCTCATGTGGCTGATGATGAAAGTCGACATTTTGCTTGGTGTTTACAGAGATTAGAAGAGCTTGGATTTAGGTTGGTATGGTATTTTTGTTTTTTGTGATAATTGTCTTTGTTCATATAGTGACTAACAGCCTCTATCGTTCTTCTTCTTCTTTTTTTCTTTTTTTTTTTCGCCCCGGGCAGCTATGGGGATATGCCAGCTCATAATTTGCTCTGGAGGGAGTGTGATAAAACATCAGATAATGTTGCTGCACGTCTGGCTGCAATTCCACTTGTCCAGGTACTCTGTTGGATGTATCTTTTGCATCTTTAGTATCATTTGAAATTCAGATGCTTATGGGATTATGATTTTCCAAAATTATTTCCGATGTCCATAACAGCTGTACCTGAATCTATTTCTCTTCTTTCAGAGTGTTCTATGAAGAAAGTCTCATACTGGATAATATTAAATGCCAAGACATGTTTAATGCTGCCTAACTGTAAGAAAGTTGTCGGGTTCCTAACACAAAAAGGCTATCTAATATGGTCATTATGTCCTTACCAGAGAAGTTTCCCTTCCCCAGCAGAAGCCTTAGGTGGCTGTGAAACTAGCTGCATATTATTGCCCTAGGTCCACTCAACTATTAGAAGAGCACTAGGGCCCCTGAAAGAGCTACTATTTAATCCCAAACTGCTCCCGACTCAGCAGTGAGGTAGAGATGAATTGGGATGGAGGAGCAATACCCTACCCTTTTTTTTTAGCGGATTTCTAAATTGACAGTTGAAACAAAAAAAAGCAAGCTGATTGACTCAAGTAGGACTAGTTCCACATGGCATGATTCCATATTGATTCCAACGAAGAGAAATTTTCCCAGTTAGATATGCAGTTAGGATAACGAATGGTTCACATCTTCTGTTCTGATGTTCTAGGAGGCCAGAGGACTTGATGCTGGGCCTCGGCTTGTGCAGAAAATGGTTGGATTTGGTGATCTTAGGACTTCAAATATTGTGGCTAAGATTGCCGATGAAGAACTTGCGCATGTTGCAGTTGGTCTTTATTGGTTTCTTTCAGTTTGCCGGAAGATGGGTCGTGCGCCTTGCTCTACTTTTAAAGGTCTAACACGGTTACACTTAATTTAAGCAGACCTGTTGCAAGTCTTTCTCTAAATATTGTGTTACTTATGTGGCAGTCTTGCTGGAAGAGTACAATGTAGAGATAAAAGGACCCTTCAATTACTCAGCTCGAGATGAAGTTGGAATTCCTCGAGATTGGTAAGTGTAGGAAAATTTCCCTTCATTGAATCCAATTAACTTAATGGGAAGCAGAACAAATAATTTTACTTGGTGTACAGGTATGATCCTTCATTTTCAAGACAAGGAGATGGGAAAGACGGGCTTTCTGAGGTATTTAATTTGAAGCTTCAATCTTTATCAGAAACTGAAAATGCATCTATTTGAAGCATATGCTTACCTTTCTAAGTTTGTTCATCGAAACCGCCTGCAGGTTTACGATAGGTTAGCATGCATAATTTCTATGGAACAAGAAAACTCAAAGATGGACGCGTCTCGTGGATGAATCTTACGTTAAGAAGCTGTATATAATCCAACTTCATGAATGTCAAACCTCATGTGGAACAACAAAAACTTCCATTGCCCTTCTTACTGGATGGTGATTATCAATCTTCTCTAGGAAAGCTGCCCTGCAAGGTCATTGGCCTGGTTGTGATGAATTATCTTGGCTTGTTAGTGTTTTATAATTCCTGGTCCAGGATTCCCATGATAGCACCAGCACAACTCCAATCAAAGACATCCTTGCAGGTTCCCTTCTCTTGGGGTTCTTTTACGTTAATCAGGGATAGAAGATACTTCGGAGCTACAATTCGCTATATAGTACTCGTCCTATGATATTCCTCTTAGCTGAAGTTAGCAATTGATGTTCTGTTATCTCAACACTTTCATCTCCAGAACAAAAGATGGACAGGAATTATTCCACAAACAAGTCAAGGAAGTGGAAAGGAAAACTTTTTTCTATTTGTTTTTCCAGCAAAGAAGGAAGAGACACCTGAGTGCGTCTACGTCACATTATGCTTGTCAATCTGGAAAGTAAATCTCTTGCCAACGAAGAAATTAGCATCTAGAACCTAATTCTTGATTCACGTGTCCCCCAACAAATACTCCTCATTAGATTACGTATTGAAAATTGCATTAAACCCATCAATTATCACAGCCTGATTGCTTACTATGTTTAGTATAGGATGACACTTTATAGCTACGTGTCCTATTATTACCATACTCAAAGAAGAAAAGAAGAGAGAGTTTTCTAGAGGGGACCGACCTTTGGGAGGCATAAATCTCACAAGAATCAAGAATTCAACATCCAAAGAAAAATCCCAGAACATCAAGAAGTGAAGAAAACATCACAAAGAAATGTGCTGTGGAGATGGAGATTGTAGGCCTTTGGCCTTCCTATTAAGCCTGCCCTTCGCCTTTCTTGCTCTCCTCGTCTCTCTTGTGGGCGTCATCATTTGGATTGTCGGGTACGGACATTTGACTCATTTTTCTTCTTTTCTTTGCAAATTTCACGGCTGCTGCGTCGTTTTCTTGACTTTATTTTGTCAATCATGTTTTGATTCTCTCTTCTTTTTTTTTTTCTCTCCCTTTCTTGAATTTTATTGATTGGTGTAGTATACTGTTGAGCATCATATGCCCATGTTGCCTGTGCGTGACTGTGCTAGTGGAGATGGCCCTGCAATTGATCAAAGCCCCCATCCACGTTATGGAGTGGTTCACCTCTCAGATTCCCTGCTAGATTAATTCTTCTCCCTCTTTTTGTAACTTCACTTCATCTTTTTCACATCTTTGTTAGGAAATTGTAGACCCTGTTTTGTCTTCCTCTGCATCTCTTGTCGTTATTGAATCATTTACTTCATCCTAGTTGCTATTTCTAATCCTTCTATCTCATGCTTATCAATTTCTTTGCTTTTTTGCTGGGGAAAATACTCATGAAGAGAGAGGAGACAACATTTGAAAGTAGAAAGAAGGATTTTCGAACATATGAACTGCACTGAACCTTATGAGATTCTTGAACATAAGAAACCACGTATCAAAGAGGATTACATACAACAGTTAACAGAATTGAACATCTGAACTGCACCCAAATTTCCTTCGCCACAAAACATAAGCAAACATGATGAAAAAAAAAACAGCATCATTGGAAGGCCTTTCATACACAACAGCTTTAACATGCTAATATATGCGAAGCACTAAATCAATTTCAGTCAAGATTGCCCTTTTTGCTCTTCTTTGTGTGATTCATCTTTATCGAAGGTGTGAGTCTGACCAGGCAGGCCCTGTCCGGTGAGAAGATCTGTCGTCGTTTGACCAATTTCTGCTAAAGTTTCGCCAACTGCATGCAGCACTCCACCGCCCTGTCCTTCTTGTCTCGTTTCTTCTTGGATAAACTCCTTTTCTGTTGGTTTGGCTTCTCCTCCCTCTTCCTCGTATTGCTTTTCCTTGGTGATGAATCCACCTTCCTACATATGTTTCAGGGTCAAAAATCAATCAGCAAAAGCCAGCCAAAGAGAAAAAAGGCACGGAGTATAACACAATTCCCACAGCTTTTGCAATTTTCTAGGACAATGCAACATGCAAAATCGCCTAGAAAATACTTTGATACTTGATAGGTGATACCTCAAATGTAAAAATTTGTCTTTTATTAGTGATTCATAAGCACAATTCTTCAGCCAGATATTTGCTTTACCTTTTGTCCTGTGAGCATCATAAATAAGTGGTGCAAACAAATCAATTACTCGTATCTTCATGGTAAAAAATCATAATCAGTCCAATGTGCGAATAATGAAAATTATGTCTCACTGATTTACCTTAACTGGAGTTGATTTCTTCTCCTCTAATTCTCTCTGAGCCTCAGCCTTCTTCCTAGCTGCATGCTCGGCAGCACTTTCTTCAGTTGCGACTACAGCATCTTTGGCAGCAGCCAATTTACTCTCAGTATACCCGACAACTCTGTCCTGCACCCGCCACCTTATCCCTGGCCACCCCAGCTACATCAGCCATCACTTTAGTACCCAGAGCAGCCTTTTCTGCCGTGTAATGTGCCGCACCCCAGCCAGCCACGGCCGCCATATCTGTGGCTTCCCCGGCCACCTTTCCCATGTATCCTACTGCAGTTTTGCCGCTTTCCACTGTAATATCCCTAACAACCGCTGTTTGTTCTCCAACGTAACCAGCCGCCTTCTTGGTTGCATCCACAGTAGCATCCTTAGCCTGGACCGCCTTTTCCACTGTAACATCGTTGGCCTCTTGACCCTTTTCAACAGCGGCGTCCTTCAAGGCTTTAGCCTTCTCACTAGCAACTTGAGTTCCACGTTCAACACCTTGCTTGACAGATTCCTTGGCTTGGCCTGCCTTTTCTGCAGCATATTGGGATCCAGTTTGAACTCCTTGCTTCGCTGTTTCCTTGGCTTGCCCTGCCTTCTCAGCGGCATACTCAGATGTTGCACCAGGTTTCTGACATGCCGCTTCCTTTGCCTGCCGCGAACGCTCCTCGGCAGCCCTGATGGCCTCCATGGAATTCTGCTGCGCCTGTTGCCTATACTCGGTTATCTCCTCCAAGGAAGGCATTTCTTTCTCTTTACCTTCCTCTTCGCCCTTCTTCCTTTCGATCCCTTCACCCCTTTCTTCATCTGTGCCTCCACCGGCTTTCACAGCCAGAGACTCAAAATGGGTAGCCATTTTTGGGACCCTGTCTTTCTCTACATCGACTGCTCGCTCATCCGTAACATCTTCCCTTCTCATTTGCTCTGACGACATTGTCAATTCTTGATCAAAAGATGATAGATATCTTTGGAAATTTCTTTTGGAACACAAATGGATTTTATGTAGTAAAAAAAATGCAGTACTAGGATGTATCCTATGCAATGTGACAGTGTGTGAGAATTCGAGACATCAGGAAGTTTGGAAAATGGTTATAAAAACTGAGGCCCAGAGGTGATGGCGGTTTCCAAGGAGATCGATGAAAGAAGAGGAAATGACAGGTGGGCAAAGCTCATGCAATGTAGTGGTGTTGTGGGGTGGTCGCCTGTGTGAGTCAGCAATCGAGTCAAGCAAAGATGTACACGTGTTTTTTTTTTTCAGCAGGAATGATACAACGAATCGGCTATGCTTTTTGAAAAATTGTGTGGATAATTGGAATTTAGAAAAAAGAAGATGTATATGTAAAAATTTCCAAGTTCAAACTTATGTAAATATGACTGCATGAAAATGATTAATAGCGGCAAATATGAAAATGGGTCAACGTGTACACCAAAACGGACCGAGAAATGGATAGTGCTGTTTTGTTTAATATCACAAAGGAAAGCCCAAGTGCCAGCATTCAGCAGGAACATACTATTGATGATTCCCAACAATTTTTTGGCACAAAAACGTTTGGGATGAATTATTTCGAGTCATCATCATGAGTCACGGCATACCCCTGTAATCATACATCGTTTTACAGAAATTCTTACGAATTGTTTATTAATACAATTCTTACATTCATAATGGGATCCAAATACATGATCTTTCCTATACGACAGGCAGCAGAAAAGGTGATTACAGAACTTAATATTTTTTTTTTTTTGGTCAATTACTGAGAGAACTCAGACTTTTAGCATATAAATTGAAATCCCTGAACAACCTTCAAAAGCCGGCAACTTTTGAAGGCGTCCAGAGGACTTATAAACTAACCCCCCATAGTCGATGTGGGATAGAACCTCCACAGGACCTGCTGCTAGAACTTAGTAAATGTAACTATAAATATTAGAACCATTTCCAAGTCAAAATCTGGTTTCCACTCACTGGCCTGGATCCAACTAGACATGGACGGTGTTTCAATTGTGGTTTAATCAAATCCACTTGGATCCTCCTAGATGGCATGAGGCTTGTTGTCCACTTGTTTCATTGAACTAGCCCAAAGTGCTAATGCGTTTATAATTCAAGTTGCAAAGCAGTTGCCAATCAGCCCGTAGTCTAGTGCTGTAGACTAATGGAAGTCCCCAAAGAGAGACTGGTATTCTTTCGAGGGACTGAAGTAATAATCAGTATGTTGAATTGATGAAATTTGGCAGTTTGAAAACATGCATTTCCAACTGAAGTGCCAAAAGAGCTTCAAATTTAAGGTTAACACGTTCGAGTACTAAAGAATGACTTGTCAAAGCCCCTGTGTTGCAAAACTTCCAGTTTAAAAGGCGATATCGATGAATGGTAGAATTTTAACCGCATTAACAGAACAAAAAGATGGAGCAATTCTGACACAAGACAAGAGTATGCTATAGTTGCCTGAAATTGGCCTAAAAATAATCCAATAACATTAAAAATTCTCAAAAAATGAGAACAACTTCTTAGTCAGGCATCCTCTCATGCCAAAAAGCCCCTTTAGTCTCCACTTTACAATTGAAACAATCAAACAGTGATCAAATTATTCCCTTGCATTGCATGAGATAAATAGAATAGAGCCAATTTCTACCCTTAAACAATGGACATTTCTTTCTGTTGATGAACTAAGTATCAGTCAGAGTTCATTCCTGCTACCCCTTTTTTCTGTATCTTCCCCATCAACCAAAAAGAGCTGCATAAAGAAGTTCATTCCAAGTATCAGGCAATCCAGGCAGACACCAATGGCTGCAGTCCAGGCCTTTGTTCTCACTGTAGTATGTTGGATGTGCATCCTTGCGATATTGTGAAAGTGTTGTGATGTCCAATAAATAAACTGGTTTCTTGATTCTGCTCAGCACTTTGTTCAGAATTATTGAAGCCAATGGTGTGCCTGCCGGATACCTTGCACCAAAGTATGGCTGTGTCTCGCCAGCACAGGATCTTGACGGTGCATTCCATTCCCTGCCCCTGAATTCAATTGCAGAGATTAACAACCGCTAAGATTCTGTAGACTAGTTCAAAGGCAAAGTTCTAAAGTGTTAATCTTATTTATGTCAGTATACTGACAATGTACATACACTGTTACGGTGGTTAGATGTTTGATAATTATACAAAATTTAAATTTAGATTAATTGTTAAGTTTTTAACGGCGATACTATATTTACTGTATCAGTGTGTATAAAATTAATTTATTTTTAAACAAAACTTCGAAGGGTTAACTCTTGAAGAATTATTTTTCACGAAAAATAGATATTGCAACTTTTTTTTTTTTCTAATTTGTTCAAGAAGAGACTCTAAACTTTACAACGGGGAGGGAAAAAATAGGCATTGCTACTTGTTAGTGGTGATTTCGTAGTAGCAAAAAAATGGAATGCTAAATTCTTGTCAAACTAAATATATTGGTTCTTCTACAAACAACCATAATGTTTATCTACGAGCCTTTTGGTTTTGATATGTATATGCATAATTTGCGTACTTGGATTTTACAATGAAATTGGAGGAAAATTGCAATAAACTAATCTCAAATTGGGTGAGGAATTGGGAACAGAGAAATTGCTTACAAGTAGTGAGTAGGGGAAATTCCTTGGAAGATGACTTTAGTTTTGGAAGGATCGACGTTCCGGTCGACCCATCTGGCCCATGTTGTCATCCCTATGTAGTAAGCAATCAGACGGTTCATATCTTTCTGAACTTTGACGCCATCTTGTATGTAATCCCATCTGCGTTAGATCATAGGGCACTGAAATCAATTAATACAGCCTAAAATATAAATTGACCATAAAAATTTCAATCATAAAAAATTTATGAAATTGGAGAATTTACGGCTGGGATCTTCCAGTATGGGTCCACCAATGCCAAGAGTTGAAAATTAGAAGGTCCATCCCTCTCCATGCATCTCCACCCCTAATGGAGTCCAGCTTTAGAACTACGCCCTCCTTTTCCTTCACCATATCCACCAGGTATGGGGTGCGATATAGTAGTATCCTAACATTATAATCCTAATCAAACCAAAAACAAATCACAATTGTTACCACAAGGCCTCCATTTTTCTTTTTTCTTCTTTTTTTTTTGCTACAAAAGAATATACATGACAACGTCTAAGAGTAATAAAAAGAATCTCAGAATTATTAGTCGAGAAAGTGTAAGTGAAAGATTTCGAGTTCGATTCCTCCACACAGAATAAAATCTACTTGTATGGTTCTAGTAAGTCAACCATCTTTGTTACTTTATCTGAGAAATTTGATTGCTACATTTACCTTAAATTAGATCAACAAAATTGCATACAATAATTCTTTAACATTCCATTGATGTTTAACATATTCCTTTTTTCTTTTTTTTTTTTGGTTCCTTCTATCCAAGAGAGAACACAAACCGTAAAAGGGGAGAGTGTGCAAAAAGAAAGATTGATAGTTGAATCAAATACGTTAAGAATCACTTGACTAATGTTCCTATATTGTTTGGAATGTGGTTTTCTTTAGAAAAATTTTTATGTTTTACGTGAACATTATTTTTTAATCTTTTATTTACGTCACATACATCAAATCCTTACTGAATATTTTTCTATAAAAAAAAACTTTTAAAAATGACAATCGAAATTAAAGTTAAATCTAAAACATCATAGTAACGACTCAAAACGTTTAACTTTTCAAAAAAGAATTCGAAAAATATTTATCTTCCTAAAGATGACACTACTCACACCCATTGCCATTCACGAGTTGTTGAAGATAGGATTCACAATAGGCCAGATGGACACTTAGAAGAAAGCAAATCGCAGACAGGATGGTCCATGGATTAGCTGTTTGGGACTTCTTTTTCCCGATTCCGTATTTCAGTTCGTTTCTACCAACATGCGTCCTTGTCCGGCTGTCCCGTCCCTACTTTCTGTTTTTGCCAACAAGGCAATCACGCCATCACTTTGACCAAAAATCACTCCTAAGTTCCACAAATAAGGGTAGGTGGTCCGATTTTCTTCATCAATACAACATAATTTATCCACTAATCTCCTATCACAGCCTCCTTAAGCTCTCACTTTTCTTAAATTAAAATAAAGTAAATTATACAAATGTATCGTTGCTGATAAAATATATATATATATATATATATATATATATATATATATATACTCCTTCTATACTCGCCTTCATGGACTGATGAATAAAGTCTACCAAGATTGGATAATTTTGTATTATACATTAAATTTCAACTTCTTCACGGATAACTTTTATATACATTGTGAGTGTAAAAATTTTTTTATGCAAGTAGATTTAAATCACACGACACTTAACACAAATTCAAATTTGAAATTCAAATCATGAATACATGACATATATCTAAAACGGTTAGTATAAAAAAAAACATTACACAATCAATATATAAAAAGTCAACCCTTTCTTTATTAGCAAAATTTTCAATTACTGTGCGCCCTTAGAGTACAATATAAGCACACCAAAAAGAAGGAAGGGGCCAAATATGAAATTATGACGTCATCCGACTCCACCCCTTTTGTTTTGTCTAGAATATTTAATTTTTGCAGATAATATATAATATAAGTGGACCATGGCTGTATAGGTGCCCTTTAGTTATAGAAGAGAAGAACCCTACATTACAGCAGCTTTCCATAGTCAAAATTTCATGATAAACCCGGATGGTGATGTCGAAATACAAAATTTGTCAAAATTGACAAGATAAAAAACTTTGCAGAAAACCCAATGATCGATTTTCTATATTTTAGGATTTGAAACATGAAAAAATTTGAATGCGAAATTATAAAAAAGAGACGTTGTAGCATAAAATTGATTGAACAAGTCCAGAATTTATTAGGAAGCAAGCAAATAAGCCAGAATGCCTCTTTCACCAAATTTAATTCTACCAAAGAAGACAACAAAACCCGAATTAATTAATTGATTAGTCATTTTCCAGCAGTCCTCCTCCCCTCTATAAAAAGACAAAAAATCATTAATTATTTTAAAAAATAAGCCAAAAGTCCTTCTCTTTTTTTCTTTTTTCTTGTGGACTACCGCTTCAACTTTATGCGTGGTTTTCTTCCACAATCATAATGACACCCTCATATTCTACCAGATTTTTCAATCAGGCCTCCCTCAATTACTCCTGAAAGATGGTGCATATTACTACTACTAGTATTTTTTACCATCACCATTTTCAAAAAGATTCCTGTTCTTTTTTTGTTTTTTATGTCAAAACACTTACAAGACAAATTGGGACAAATTTACAACATGTAATCATTAGCAAGACTTTTAAATTCTTCTCAGTTTAAGTTCTTTTCACAGAAGTCTCAAATGTTGCAGATGCGTTTCTTTGTCCTCTTCTTTACCATAGCTTTCTCCATGTGAAAGAAAAGGCTAAATGCGTTGAAAGTTTCATGGACATGGACCAATCGACAACTTTGCAAAAAAATTGATTCTTTTCTTCCTCAAAACAACTGGCAATTCACCAAGCACGCCATCACTCCAGAAACTTTCTAGCCAAACAACTATGGAGAAAATGAGAAAGGTATTAACAACTGGCAACTCACCATCGGAATAAAGAAGTCAGCAAAAAGTTTGTGTCCCAAAAATTAATGCCCTGATCTATCCGGTCTCAGGAGCATATGGGGTCCCAATATTTCCTTTACCAACTCGAATTCCATCTTAAAGACGGCAGTGACATTCGGAAACCAAACATTTATTATTATCAATTTACGGAAGAAATCAAGAAACTGACAATAGCCACGAAGGCAATGGCAATTGAATTCAAATCAAGTGCTGAAAAATTGCGACGTGAACTATAAAAATTTGAGTTATACTACTATATTAGGTGCGACATGCCCATTATGTGGTAATATTACGTGATGCACTTAGTGTTAACAAAAATTCATAGCATTAATCTGTCTGAAAAACACTTGCAATTATTATTTGATGACAGATGATTAGTTTTAGTGCATCGCGTGAGCTAGCGAGTATGGTCTTACTAGTAGCCTCTCCGTCAGTCATACTGGCTTAGCTGAGGACATGGTACAGTACGAGCAGAATGGAGAAGAAAATGGTTGTTTGACGGAGCGCAAGTGACAAAATTTGGGGCAGAAATAACAGAAGGGAAGTGTAGTCATGAACATCTATCACTTCACCTTCCAAAAAGCTAGGACAGAGACAGGAGACAGGTGATGCATGCACCAAATCAAGTCATCATTCAACCAATTCAACAGGAAAAGTAGCTCAAAATCTTGAAAACATTAGGCGGTGAACCATCAAGAGATAAGACGCATGAAGAAAGAAACATGGCCGGAGATTAGGACTAAAACTTACCAGAAATGCAATTTCAGAAAGCACCTCTTTCGTTATCAGACTGTACCTAGCCTTCGGCGCCCAAGAGTGAATCATGCAACCCAAAGATGCCCACATGTTGAAACTCAATGAATCGCCAACAAACATGATGTTCTTCCCCCTCCATTTCTCCAAGAAATACAGCCCATTAAACCTGCAAAAAAAAAGTAGCAGAGTTGGAACTCCAATCCCAGACCAGAAGAGAATTCAAGAAACCAAAGTTGAGATTGAAGAGCACTCGTGGAGTTTGTACCTTGGGAGGTTACATGAAAATGGTTGCCACCTGTATTTGAGGTACAACTTGTCAGGCCTCTTGTAGAGGAGACAGTTGAATTCTGTATCAATGAAGGGACATGATGCATAATCATAGAGGGGATATTGAGCATCATATACCCATTTGCCTCTGAAAATGTTGCAACCAGAAGCAAGCATTGTGGCTCCAACTGAACTAGTGGTACTAATATTGGCAGCATTCAAGAAATTGTCGATTTCATCATCAGCTTTTGCTGTTTGACATGAACAAAGAAAGAGTAAAAGTACTGAAGGGATGAACAGAAATCTCATCTTGGATTTCTAGCCCAGCAGATTTGTCGGAGCTAAATAACGAGGTTTTGAGGTAAAGTTTGTCAATGTGTTTCATGTACTATATAGTGTACAACATTATATACTAATATTGTGTGATACTGATGGACTCTGGTTAGAAAGAGAGAGAGAGAGGGAGGGAGGGAGGGAGAGAGAATGATGAGAAAGTATTCCCAGTTGCACATGCCCTTGAAAATTAGATGAACCCCACCTCCCCCAGGCGCCAACAAACAAGTGTCTTTTTTTTTTTTTTTTTCTAATATATATCCATTTGTGAATTGTGAGTTTCTATAAGCAGAATTAAAAAGAATTGTGATTAATCTGATCTTGTTTGGGTTATATGCTGGACTTTAGCCTGTGGGGTTGGTAATTTTTTTTCTTTTTTTTTTGTTGCATTTGAAATATTTTGAAACCTCATTTGAGTGTTCTTTTTCTTGAAAGAAAAGGATGGCCTTTTTTATAAAGTTCTCTTTGTGTACTTTTCTTGTGTTTGGTAGGTGATTCTAAAACTTTTGGTAAAGGTGGCAATAAACATTATTATTAATTGCATATGCTAAGGTTAATTGTCTCTAGCATCATTATTAATTAAGCTGCACATTTTGTTAATGACTTCCACTCGCAGCTGCCTCTCTTTCTGTTCAAAACCATGGGCTATAATACATAATATTAGATTCTGTTTCCTTCTCTTTCTCACATTTGCTCTTATTAACTACTAGTGGCTTAAGCATTCTTTTTCCCTTGTAAACATTTTAGGAAATGAAAATTTTTGAACAAACTCGACCATTTAACAAATACGGGGTAATAAAGGATCTTTTAAACTTATCTATAATCGATTTATTCATGGCTTTGGGGTACTTTCTAGTTCGACTTTCAATTCTCCTCTTTCCTTTCTTTTCTTTAGTAAGATTTAGAATCTCTCTTTAGATTTCAAAACAATGTACCTGAAAATATTGTCAGAAAAGAAATTTTTTTCCTTGAAATTTGGTAAACGAGGTTTTTTTTCCCTTGAAATTTGGTAAACGATTGAACATCTAATGCAAATAAACAACAAAGTCTCGACCGCCAGATCCAAGCCCAACGAGACTACGGTCATATCCTTTGATCTAGTGCTGATTTAGGTCATGTTTGGATTGTAATTTTTTGGAGTTTTCATAAAAAATGTATGGTAACGATTTGATATATGTGAAGTAAAAAGACGATCAGAAAACGTATTTACGGAAAACGCAGAGATTTTTTAGTGAAAAATTCCTTTCTAAACAAGGCCTTAGACTTTTGCAAAAACTTCAACAAATCAAATGGGGGCCATGATTCAATTTGTTTCTTTTGTTAAAATCAAGTTCCTGGGATAACCGGTGAATAGATAAATCACATGTAAGAAAAGCTCGACATTTTTTCCAACGGTGAGAATTTAATCTTAGTCTATTTTACTCTTTGATCCATCCTAGAAATTGAATAATTACACGCACATTTCCTCTAACGCTTTTGTATCATTGAACTAACCCACATAATATAGAAAATAAAAATAAGCAAAATCATGAGTTTAAAGAGTTTGTTGTGGGAAATTAAAATTTAAGTCTAGAACTAGACGAGGTGTCTTTGTAATTAGGACAAAGCTCAAGGGTGGATAGTAGTAGTGTTAAAAATCCCTGCCGTGCTCGTGCTTCTTCTTCTTCTTTCTTTATCATACATATTAGAACTTTCCGTGTGAATTTTCTTTGCTACCATAATCACATTCGTCCAATTAAAGTAGTGGAGGACACTAGTGACTGTTGATCGAGACCAGGCCACACCACATATTATTATTGTTTGAGTATGATATTACTTTATTTACATGGCAAGATAAAGAAAGATAACAAAAATGAAATTGATGTCTTGGAAGATTGAAAATTCAGCCAATTGAGATCGGCTGACTTCTATCTTATTGAAGTTACAATCAATCCAACATCATGGAACCATCCTCAAGCTTTTCTTTTTCTATTTCTTCTTTTCTTGTCTCTTCTTTTTAATTTTAATCACTCTAGAAGTCTGAATTGGTATTGTGTTTACAATATTGTTGTCATTAGTTAAGTAAGAGTACTTGAAAGATGGATGGAATTAATTGGACAAAAGAGCTGATATGATATGGCAATTTAGGGATGATAGTTTCTTTCTGCCATGTATCCAATAGTTATTTGCTTAGCCATCACTCTTTATTTATCTCCTAACCAACCATCCTGCTATGTGCTCGACACTTGTGAACCTTAATAACTCAAAGGCTTATGATTGGAAATTATTGTGTTTTTTGGTTACGTACTCTGGTTATTTTCTTGCGAAAGTGGATAAAAATGATGAAGTGGCACAACACCTGTAAAATGTAGTATTCAGCTAATCAATTCATGGAGGGGACTGTTTTCAGGCACCGTTTTGGATTGAGGGATAGGGGTTCATTTGTGATTATTATTTGGACAAGAATTCTATTATTATTTTTTTTAATAGAGGAAACTTTCTGGCTAGTGAGGGCAACGGGGCGGAATTGGGGCTCCGCCTCAGCTTCTTCTGTGGGGTTAATAAAAATTTGTTATATAATTTTATTATAATTAAATTCTAATAAATAATTAAGTGCTAAAACATCAATACATCATCAAATCATTATCTGTTGTAATTTTATAATTAAAATTCATAAAAATAATCAAACAAAAACTATTTGAATATAATCTAACATGATGAAACAAATACAACTAAAGTAGTCAAGTTTTCACTTTTGAAAAAAATACAATCACTAAGTTATTATTGTATTTTATTTGAAAAAAAAAAGTATTGTTGTGTTAAGTGTAATTGAGGATTTAGTGTAAATGTATTAGTAAATTTAATATAACTAATTAATAATTTCTATTAGTAGACATGTATAATTATTCGCATAATTGATAATATCAATTATATTACATATACCTATATATATTATATAATACTTATAACTAATAATAATATTATTATAAGTTTGAAACTAATTAAATTAAATAATATATATATATTTTAACGGATGGCGGGGCGGGGGTCCTTAATGGAGAGGAAAAAAATTCCCCCCTAACCCCCATCGGCTGCGGGAATCCATCCCAATTGTCATTCATATTTCTAGCAGGCCCTTGAACTATTCACTTTACATGGTTTTGGTCCCTAAATTACAAGTTATCACAAATAAATCCTTAAACGAAAAAATGCTTAGTTCAAGGAGTTCCATCAAATTTGAGTGTTAAATGTAACAGAACTAGGAGCAAAATCAATCAAACAGAAAAACCGACCCATGATTTAGTTAAAAACCTACAATGTTAAGCCAACTGATAACGTGAAATTTAATGGTTTATCATCTTCTTTCATCTTTCACCTTTTCTAGCCTTAATTTGATGAAATAATCAGTCACTAGACTTTTTAGATTGTTTTTGTGGGTTGATTTTTTTTTTGGTCTGTTTTGTCCCTAATTCGGTCACATCTAATGGCCAAAATTGACAAAAATCCTTAAACTAAGCATTCTCTTTTTTTTTTTGGGTTCAAGGGTTTATTTGTGACAATTTATAGTTGAGAGGCAAAAACCATGCAAAGACAATAGCGCAGGGTTTGTCCGAAAAACTTCCTCTTTTTAATATGTTTTCCAACCAAATTATATTTTGTATACATCACTATCATTACAGCACAAAAGTGTCATAATAACCAATGCAAAAAAAATTTCCAAACAACTTTCAACCCATACATAATATAACAAGGAGCAGTCGTAGACAGAACGTAATGGTGGTACCTTTTGATTTTGAATTTTGGGCAAATTTTGAAGTGTCAATAGGGGTGTCTTTGGGTCTGTCAAGTAACAGTGGAAAATCAAGAAATGAGTACCTAATAGAGTATAAAATTGATTGGTTTTCGACGTGACAGAATTCAATTCAGGAGTCATTGAGTTTTGACATGATGAAAATTGAAGAAGGGGCTCATGTAGTAGGGTCTGCCGTTTGTCCCAAGAATCGATCTTCCCCACAAAAAAATGAAAACTCAGCAGTAGCCATTTGCATGGCGGCATTCCTCCATACTTCTCTTTCGGCGTTCCCTCACCTAGTCAACCTCATGTAATAATTCATAGTGCCGCCAAAGCCGCCTCCCCACCACTTCTTGGTGCTAACACCCTTGCACACACGCATGGTGGGCAATGGCGCACACAATACATATACATACATACATATATATATATATATATATATATATAACAATATTTGGGGGAATTATTTGAGGTGGATTTTGAAATAAAATGCTAGTTAAATATTACTTGTTCTGAAATTTTTATAGAAAGGAAAGTGCAAAAAGAGGAAAGATGTAGGGAGAAGCGAAAAGGGACTAAAAATGGTGTGACTCGACTTTTTGTTGTATGGCAAATACGGAAAACCTTTAGTCTAGGATAATTTTTTAACGTAAATCGCTGCACTTGATTTTCCATAAGAAACACTTCTTAATCTATACGTTAATTTAGAGGCTTTCTTAAAGAACAAATAAAATGAATTCCAATCATTCAATTGGTGGCCCCAAAATGGTACTTTTTTTTGTGTGGAATAAAGGAGTCTTGTAACATTGATTAGTTACTTATGAATTGTGGGGGATGGGGTCAAGTTTAGAACCATATGGAAAAAGCCACACTGTCTTGTAGTTTTTTTGTATAGTGCTTCACATGTGGCTTGGTCACTAAGACTATCAACTTGTGAGTTGTGAGGCCTGAAAAAAAAGAACTTTGTATTGAGATCTTGATCAGGGAAATGAGGAACTGAATCCACTTGGGGGTTTGCCCAAAATGAAGATTTTCACCCAAATTTAAGTTTGGCCAGAGTACCAAAGATCACGTTAATGTAATCTACAATTATAGAGAAGTCACGTAGTTTTTAGAACTAGGTATTATAATCTCTGCAATCAACTTTTGAAATTATAGAAAAATTACTGTAGCGATTTGATATATGTGAGATAAAAGATGACTGAAAAATGTGTTCACGGAAAACATAGCAATCTTTCTTTGAAAAATTGCTGTCCAAACATGGCTAACTTGGCAAGCCTAAGAGCAAAATATCTAGTTCTTTAGAACTTGAATT